TAATATTCATTCACTCACTCACTCACCCGACTAGGTTCTTAGACCAATTTTTAAAAAAATTGATTTTCAGAATAAATTTATTGTTTTAAAGAACATAAATAGGCTTAAAAAGTCATAATTATTAAATAAATAACTTGTATCACCCTTAATTTTGAAAAAAAAATCATTATTTTTATGAAACTTTAGCAAAATTTTTAAAATTAAGAATAACGCCATAAATAAAAATAAATTACATATTATGCAATTTTAATTTCATTGATATACTTCTTGATCCTTCTGAAGTGTCACAAACCGCAGGATTAAAAATATTTTAAAAAATAAATATTTTAATAGCCTTTAAATTTGATGTTAATGATTTTTAACCAAAATTACTGCATGTTCTATGCTAAAAATTGCTGTAAAATGTGATTAAATGTAGGTATCTTAAAACATGTGATTTGTTACACTCTGAAGGGCCCATAATATATATATGTTATAAATATAATTGAATTTGATTGGATTGTTTTGGAGATATCCCGTTTTTCGAGCACAAGTTATCGAAAAAATTTCATTCTTTAAAAAACGCATTAAAAATATTTTTATATGTTAGATAAAGTAAATGCTATAAATACAACTTGAAAAAACTCTCTAGGTTTATGTATTATATATATATATAGTCTTTTTCTTTCTCAATAATTATATTTCTTTTTTCCCCCTAAAGTCTCAAACAACAGCAAACATCTAAAAATCACTTTTTCAACCAAGTCGGATACCTTAAGTGGTTATTTACCTAGGAGTTAATTATGAGTTGGGTTGAAAGTACTTCATTTAGGCTACTGTATTTATTTAATCAAAAATGTCTGCGAGTAATGTATACTTTTAAACAGGGGTGGACAAATAGTGGTCCGTGGGCCACATGCTGCCCGCAAAGAATTTTTTTAGCCCGTCAAGGCAGTCAGAGAATCAAATAAATAGAAAATGTTCGTTATATTTGGGTCGGCATATGTTTTTGAGCAAAATTTTTCTTCAATGAGGATCAGAAAAAATAAATACAGATGAGAGTTGGCTGACATTGAATTGCATGCTGTGATGAGAATTTCAACAAGCAATCTGATTTCAAAAAAAAAAATATAGAAAAGCATGATAGAGAGTACATTTGTCTCATATTGGCGGAGGACCTTGCTATTTTGAACCTCGATCAAATGACGAAGACGACACCTGAGCTGGCATCAAATTCTCCAAACCTCCACATCAAGCCAACGTGAAGACTTTGAACCAAGACAGATTTAACGCGTAAATGCACCTTCTACACCACGGGGCTTCAGTGCTACCAGGACTCGAACACCGGCCACGAGTTCGCATCCATAAGCCCTAGGCTACCATGGAGATTCTTGTTTGCACCAAAAACATTTTTGCAGCTTACCTTTAAGGAGGGTATCAAATAAGTTTTCATTACTCACACAATCTTTGGCAATTTATTTCTGGCTTTCAGTTAATCTTTGGCATAACAAACGGACATGAGATTAATGTATAAATACCCCTTTTCACTCCTCTAATCTTGACGATGTGTAGAAGTTTGGAGAAGGTAGTACCACAGCTCATTTGCTCAAAGAGCAGGTGACAGTACCATTTCCCAATTTTAGGAGAGAGCACCCTGGGAAAGAAGAGGCTCGGAGGTCTTTCAGGCATACCCCCCTCCTTCAAACCTCGCGAGGGATTTTAATGTACGATGGTATAATGAAAGAAATTGAGAATCCCTTCAATTACTATTAAACTTACAGATATCTTTTTTTAAAAAAAATCATGATAAAAAATGCATTAAGAATGATTTGTACTTGAACTTAAAAATGGAACAGTTAAAAAACGTTACCATTTTAGCTCCTTAAATTGTATCGAAATTCTAAACATTCGATGGCATCACAATTAAGCACACCAATGAGACCACATTCCGATGAATATGTTAGTAGTTTATTAATCGCGCAACGCTTCAATTCCTGTTCAACGATGCCAAATGCTCGTCCCGGATGCGGAGATCTGAAACAATGTTTGAAATCAGTGTTCGTAAAAAGACCATTACTTTGGGGATAAATTGGTTCCAGATCGTCATCATTGACCGAGCGTGACGTAATCATGTTCTTGATGGGAACATGAAGATGCCTCTATTTCTGCAGGTTTTCCAACGTCATTAAAAGACGGCCGACACCTATTGGTCATTTGGATTGTGTTGACCAAGAAAATTCTGGATTACAACTGATTCGGTTGATCAGTTTGAGTTGACATTGCTTCACGATCATTACAAGTAATGAACTTCGAAACTTTGTACCGGGATCAAGTGATATAAAATATGAGATCATTACATTTTGACCACGGACTCACGGTCGACGTCGTTTCTATCGAGTCATGGTGCAACAGAAGACTCGACAGACACATGTTAAGTCTCTCGCAGCGAAATTCCTCATTGGTATGGTGTGGATGTGGAGAGAGAAATGCCAGCTCAAGCGTTGATCTCGTTATCAAAGAAAAATGAAAAGTATTGGATACCATTAGTAGACCTTAACGTCGAGAGCATAAATACACCACTACGAAAAAAAAAGAAAAGAAAAAACAAGCTCGTGTGACCGCAGTAGCCGTATGATTCTGAACTCGCGGCCGGCGTTGTCGTCGGGGGTTCTTAACCAAATTCCAATGAAGACACTCCATTTACAGGGACTAAAGCTCGTTAAATCTTTCAAAGATCCACATCACATCAAAGGGAGGATTTTGAAGTCCGGTCCGGAATTGCCAGCTCAATTGTCAGCTTAGTCACTTGATATTTGGTTCAAAATGACGAGGTCCATCACCAATGGTTCCTGTGTTGTTTCACAGATGCGTGACAGATCATGTTTCGTCAAATCACGTATTCTAGCTCTATATCTAATAAACGATCCTATATATAAATGGATGATAGTTTAAATCTGTCGACATTCGTAGACTATTTAGGAATTAAGGATTATTACTATCGCAATTTGGAATTGCACTAAAACAATTGGTGACGAACCTTGTAATTTTGGTGTCTTATTTAAGTGATGAGGTTGACACCTTACTCTCCAAATTTTCACTCCACACCAACGTAAGGATCTTAAGCTTCGGTAGATTAAACATAAATCTGTCCCACTACACGGCAGGTCTTCGGCAGCACCAATGATCGCATCATGACGTAACAACTCAGGCCATGAGTTCGTTACGTGATCGTAATCGCCTTGGAATAACCTGAAAGTGAGGTGCCAACGCAGGTTGGAGATCATGATTGTGGTTGAAAATTACGAAGCCTGTAGATTGGAGTTAGATACGGGAGAAACTAATACCAAAACATTTTTTCGGTATAAATACATCAATTCATCTTTGAAAGAAGTACTCGAGTTCTCTTTTGCTCTCATGGCGAAACACAATGCCATTCTGAGTAAGCCAGAGGTACTCAACATTTTCCCCTGTCGGGACACAAACATATAACTATTTCACGCACGCATTTTTTTCTATGTCTGAAAATACGTAGTATGATCCAAAAGTTACCCTGAATAGTTCACAGCACCGAAGCACATCCACCTTCAAAGTAGTCCCTAGTCCTAGTAAGTCTAGGACTAAGTAGTCCTAGGGCAATGATGCACTTTTGCCAGTGTTTGTATAATTTCTGGAAGCACAACTGGAAGCAATTTTTCTCAACTTACTGTAAGACCTCCTGCAAAGCTACTTTCAATTCATCAGATGACACAAAATGACGTCCCTGTAAATGTTTTTTCCTTGATGGGAACAGATAAAAGTCAAACGGAGCTAAGTTGGGTGAATAGGGGGATGAGGTAGCTCGTCAGATTGCGAGTTTTGGAGAGAAACTCTTTTGCCAATTGGGATCAATGTGCGGGGGCATTGTAATACGGAAGATACCAGTCGTCACGCAGGCAGAACTGAGGCCGCTTACGACGTATGGATTTTCTCAAGTGAGTGAGGGAATATTAACGTCGCACTGTTCAGCTACATGAGGGCTTTTTGGCGACGGACAGCGTAGTTTTGAACCATGGTCAAGAGACGCGGACGACACCTGAGTTGGCACCTCCCTCTCCTAACTACCTCACCACACCAACGGGAGGATTTTTGAGTTCTCGATAGATGTAACGTGCATCACTCCCCTATACGGCGGGTCTTCAGTGGCACTGGGGCTCGAACTCATGACATGCTAGCCATGATCCGATGCCTTGACCACTTCGCTACCGCGGCCATGGATTTCCTCAAACGACGTCTTTGAAAAGTGCTTAGCCCCAGTGGTTTGTGCACGTATGTGGTGATGATCTTTTCGTACACATTCCGACACCAACGCAATATTTGGCGCGTTGAGTATCACTGGAGAGAAAATGATTGTTTTGTTATTTGATTTACTTATTTTTAAAGCAAGTTGGTTAGTTTAAAGAAAAACATTCTTTTTCTACGTAGAAAACTTTCCTAAGCCAGTTCTGCAACACATTCATTCTCCTCTTTCGACATCATACTTGTGCATTGCCTTTTTTTTATTTATTTATTATTATTATTATTTTGCGATTCCTAAACGATTGTCTCGTTTGCTGTCCGAGAGGGGTGTCTTCACCCCAGAAAGTGAAACTTGGGGCTCATCGAACTGTGCCTTTCTCTCGGGAACAATCTGGGATTGAGTGACGGCTCCCGGGATGGATGGCAAAACTTCCAGCTGACGGGGCCAACCAAGCGGAACCGTGCGACACACGCGGATGATTCCGAAGGTGAAGCTCATCGGTATTGTGGGTCGGCCCCGGTGAAGAGCTCTCGATTTCGATTGCAGAAGATCTCGTCTCAAGATAAGCCTAATCCTCTCCTTCGGCAAGCAGGGATGCCAAAATTGACACCTCTGGCACGTTGGAAGGCTTTGCTTTCAGTTCTATTAGAGGATATTGTTGGATGACTAAGACCTGCAAGAATTTCTGAGAAATTCTTTGAGATTTATGTACACTGTTTCATAAAGTTTTGCAAGCGCTTTTTTTGGTTTGGTAGCCTAGTGGTTATGGTACACGTATTATGGCTGCGTGTAGCGGGTTCAAGTTCTGCTCTGACAAACAGTTTCCAATTTCAGTATATTGCTTGAAAGACAGATTCAGAGGGAATTTTAGCTGTAGCTTCAAGATATTAAAAACAATCTTTTTCCTATAACGCCTAAGTAATTGTTAACATATATTTCTTGGATCATGTAAAAGGGAATACAACAACTGTATCCAATTATTCTAAAAATTTTCTTTCCTTTTTGTTAATGGTCCCTTTAATTAGTTGAAGTCAAATTATTCTTGGACATTTATAATTTGTGTTCACTGAAGAGTTACATAATTTAAATTTATCGTACCACTCACTTTTGCTTTAAAATATTGAATAATCGATGGTCTACGATAATCATTTATATAATTTAAATCAAAATAAAAGTTTACTTAAACTGAACGCGATTGGAAAATGATTTAGAATACATACATAAAGATAGAAAAACGATAAGATCTTGAATATGATTTGAAAAAATATATTACAGTATTTCGCTGTAAATTCATCTTGTTACTTATGATACCTGATCGACAGTAACATTAGATCAAGGCCACAGAAATTCAACGTGGCAGGGGCTACATTTACATCTGTTGTTAGACTTAGCTTTGAATACAGGTGAAAGCACGATCCGGGTGGGGTTTTTTTTTGCGGAAGAACACCCTGGAGGTGGTCAGTGGCCACTCTCCCCTCCCCTTCCACCAACCTCACGAGAGGACTTGTGGCTCGTCTGCTATTTAAAATACCCTCTGCTGCAAACGAACTATACATTTACCTGCTCCCATGCCTTCTCCGGGATTTGAACCCAGGCTTATAATGACACAGGAGTCACCGTCACAAAACACTATATCGGATGGGTGGCTTAAATTCATCTTAAAATTCTAAATTGAAATGGAAAGTGATATCCTTCCATTTATGTTACTTTTCTTTAATTTTATTCGAACACGGAGTTTTTAAATAAAAAATGTTGTATGACATATAAAATAAAGGCAGTTTTTAAAAACCAATTTGTTGCTTAATTCTCTTATTTTAAGCTTAAGTTGAAAAATAATTTTAACCTTTTTGTAAAATGAGCTTCAATTTAAATATTTTAGAACGATTATCGGTGCGTGTGAAGTAGTTTTCTAATGTATGATGTAATGATTTGATTACTTGACTTCTATGACTTATTCCGACTCTCTCTCTCTCTCTCTGTTTCTTTCTCTTTAATTCATTTCTGGAATAAATTTAGTATCAATCTAATGCTCACTCAATCTAAATGCTGAGAGCAGGTAATGTGTGCTTAGAAAGTTATTGGAGTAATTGGTCACAATCGAAAGATTAAACAAAATCCATTTAAAAAGATAAAACCAGAATCGAACAGAAAGGACTTTTGTTTTCTTTGTGGCAACAAAAAAAATTAATGTTCAAATTTGCAAACCATTATGACTTTATCTAAATCTCAAATATAATTGATGTTTACGTTTGAAATGAACGCAATAAAATCTTTCCAGACAACAGTGCACTCAAGTTTCAAATCGTCTAAGCGCTAATTAGGTGGTGGTGGGGGGAAGACATCCTACTTCCTTTTCAATTCAAACAGGAAACACCATTTCTTATACTACAGTCAAAATTTATTTAACTTTTTTTTTTTTTTTTTTTGCAAAACGTAATAGTACATTTCTTCCGCACCTGAAGAAAAAGAAAGCATTAGAAGGGAACCGCTTAACAATCAGTGAAAACTTTTTAATTTTATCTCGATGTGATCTTTAAAAGCATTGATTTATTTCGAGCAATCGGTAATCTGCTGCGACTTCCCCCCTCCAACAACGCAACCGCAAACGATTCCTAACAATGCTTTTGGGGCCATCCTCATTAGTCGTTCTGAGAGCCATGTAAACTTTCTCGCGCGTCGGTGGTGTAAGGTCAGGTGACTAAATTCCATTCCGATTCGAATCAATGGGGGAGTGAATTACCGACCTTCTATTGTTCTACGAGAGACCGGTAACTTGTGTGTGGCGGAAACAGGATATCTCTTTAAAGGAGTTCTGCTTATAATTATCAATTCTGTGCGCTTTTGAAGAAAGTTCCCGGATGATGGCGAACTTCGAATGACTCAATTAGGAAAATAGAATCATCCATTCTGATAATGTCATAAATGCATTGTAAGAAGTCCAGTTCCTGGTATGTCATAGCATCAAAAATGACACATTATTATTTTAAAAGAAATATTAGGTTGTTCTATAATTATCGGCCGAAAATGAAACACGAAATAAAATATAAGTCGCAAAGAAAAAATAGATTTTATTCAGCAAAGTAACCACCATCGGCTTAAATAATCTTCGTCCAAAAAGTTTTGAACGAAAAAATCCTACTGGGGAGGGGGAGAAGTTTACGTTTTCCAATGGTCAAAGAAATCCCGGACCCCCTAAATCAAAGTATCCTGGTTCGAGTATTGTTTGTGCCTCACAAACCTGTAAACCTGACAAAATATTAGATTATCTGTCACAGTCAGGTCTAGGTGAGTGAATATTAACGCCGCACTGCTCAGCTATACACGAGGGCTTTTGGCAATGGACCTCGTAATTTTGAAACCATCGTCAAGTGACGATGACGACATCTGAGCTGGCTCCTTCCTCTCCTAACTACTACACCACACCAACGGGAAAACGCTTGGGGCTATCGGCTAGCCAGGTCTGGAGAATAAGGTGGTTGTGGCAGAAATTTCTACCAACCGAGACATGTGGTCAATCTTCATCCTGCAAGAGTATGGAACCTGACCAATTGATTACTGCTGGTTGTTTGATGCAAAGTTTCCTGCTACATTCATCCAATTTATGAAGGTACACGTCCGTATTAATAGTCTGAGGGGCCCTCGGGATGAATTCATAATGGACTACGGTCTTAGCTGTCCACGAAAGAGATACGAGAATTTTCTGTGAATGGGAAGTTTGGTTTGGGTATTTTTCGCATGTTCGCTCTTATGTAGCCACTTTTTTTTCTTGGGCTTGCGATTGTCGTACAGCAATCCATTGTTCCTCCACAGTCACAATACGATGCAAGAATGGCTCTCTACCATCTCGCTCCTATCGAGATTTACAGGTCTCCAGGCACCGTAGACGTTGTTTTCTCGACAGGGCATGTGGTTCTCATATTTCGAACTTTATCACCAAGCCCATTGCTATCAAATGTCGGGAGATGTCTGTGGTGCTACAGAATGTTAGGCTCCTAGTTGTCATACCGCTGACTTTGATCTGGCTTCAATTTTTGCCATAAGGGGTCTACATCACACCGCACTGAACGACAGGCTCCAGGCATATGGTCAATTTTCATATTGCCACTTTGAAATTTGGCAAACAATCTATCAACTGTCCACTCACTTGGTGACGTTGACCACCGTTGCAGCCACCGAATGTCCCAGCCGGAACTAGTGCTGAATCACGATTCACCCGTCACGTTTCTCTATTTCGGTCCTTAAATGTTTCCAGTGCCCCGACTGGCATTTATGTAGTGTGACACATTTATGTAGTGTGTGGACTTTTCCACTTCACGTTGCAGGTAGTGCCGGTTTATCCATTGGGCACTTTGAACGGGCATGCAGGGGCCCGAGGTCCGTATAAGCTAGACTTAACCACATTTTCTGGTTATAAATTTCGATCTTCCTGTGCCAAGGGGGCTTGTAGATCTTCTGCGCCCAGGGCCCGGAATTAGCTTAAATTGGCACTGATTGCAGGGGTGGTTGGTGGTACATCCCTACTGTACCTGTTAGTACGATCTGTAAAAGTTGCCTAGATCGGTTGGGGCCAATAATTTTGGAACAATCTGATATATATGGAGAGTCCAGTATTGGAAATGGAATTTTAACGTCATTAGAATTCTGTTTCCAAAACCTGAACGATTTGTTTACTTATTTCCTTTATTCTCCTATATACACGAATTCGTAACCGGTGGTATAATCTCTCAGTTGAGTCATCTTGTATCTCTAAGGGTTCAACTGAAGTAACTCTCAAACTTATTCTTAAAAATCAAATAAAAACTTGTCAGCTCTTTAGAGGGCCTGACGCATGTTGAATCTGTCGATATCACATGTTAGCGTGGTGTGAAATTTTAAAGCGGGATATCATTCCAAGCGTCGTTCTCATTACTTGATCGAGGTTCAAAATTGCGAGGACTGTCACCAGCAGCACTCGTGTAGTTTCAAAGGGATCAATTAGTCAATCAAATTCAGATCTGTTGCAAGTCATGATAAATGAGTGGCCACAGTAGCCACCTTGTAGGGGGCTGATGCGCGTTAAATATTTCGTGGCTCAATGTCCCTCCAAAAAAAGTGGCTTGGTAGTTTGGACAGCGGTGCCAGAAGTGGTGTCAACCTCGTCACTTGACCGAGATTCAAAATTACCAGGACCGTCGCCAATGGTACTCGTGTAGTTTCAAGGGTAGGTGCAAAAGTAAAACCCCTCCTGTATATATCCTATGTTAAATCAGAATTAACTGCTACAAAGAAAATGCAATTATTAATCCATTTCATTTCTTTTGATTATACCAGTGAGTGAATATTACCGCGCTCGTCGCACTGATGAGTTATTCGACGATTATATCAAGTAGTTATTTATATAAATTCGGGCAATGTACATTTAATTAATAATACACATTTAATATTTTATTGATGTATATTTGCTTATATATACAAAAACTGTTGAGGATTTCTCGATAAAAAAAAATTGAACAAAATCATACCGAAAGCAGCAAAACAAGCAGAATCTCACCTGTACAAAAATTAAAAAACACCATAAAATGTTGGTGATTAATTTTTTTCATATATATCTCTGATTTACTCGGTATTTTCTGGATAAAATTTTGACTGAGAAGAAACAATATTTTTAATATTAATTACAAAAACTGCATAAGATTTATAACCATTGATTGGTAATTCTGTAAAAAACACAAAACACACATATGTCTAAGCGGAGTAAAAATTATCCACATTCTTTTCCTCGGTTCAAATCAATCGAAGGCAGCTTATCTCGACAAAAGCCTGAAAATTTATCAACAA